TTTGAGCTAGGCTCTGCAATCACAAAAAAGGAAATATGGTCTCAATGCACAGCAGATAAGGGAGCACTAGTGGCCTAGCAGGCAAGAGTTGCTCTGACAGCCCAAAGGCAGGCAGTTCAAATCCACTGTTTGCTCTGCGGAATAAAGATGAGCATTCTCCTCCTGTACAGTTTATAGCCTCTGAAAACCCACTAAAGGCTCAGCTATGAGTCAGTTCCAACTTGATGACACATAACAACAGTGCACATCATGTCATCAACAGTGCAGATGTCAAAACACACTTGACTTACCAAAAATGTAGTGTTTCTGATCATCTTAGGGTGCCAAAATGTTGTATAAATATATACCTGTTTATTTCTAAACTATTTGATGGCTGTTTCCTCTGTTAACCTTATCATTTTAAGAATTTTCTCTATTGAACATATCTATTGTGTAATTACTTAGTCTCTTATTAATATTTATGGAAAAAACCCTGCAAATCAGAATGTATGGAGTTGATATAGTGTCAGAATAAAAGAAATAAAAATATTTCATATTTTTCTTAGACTTTTTATCCTGTTTGTGGATCAATACATACTTTCTAACAGTGTGAAACAATGAAAATCTTCATTTCTTGCTCAATAGTTTTCATTGATCTAATTCATTTCCCATTTGTTAATATTATATTAATGTAATCTTTTTCTGTTGGCACAATAGTATGTGATTTCACGGCAGCTATTTTGAACATCTATTTTAGTTTTCAAGAACAGACATTGTTTCTGAAGGGTGGGAATTGAATTGAAAAAGGCAACAATTTTATCTCACTTATAAAGAGTCAAAGTGGTTTTCTACTTAAGCTTTTAAGTGGGTGTATGACACGCAAGAGGTATTTATTGCATTTGATAATTCCCTTGTGCTAATTTATGTCCTAATGAATGTGAAGTTGACAGAACCAGAGTATGGGGGAGAGCAGGACAGAAGTAGGGTAGTTCCATTTTCATTTTTAGAGGATTGTGCACAGTCCATCCTCAAACCACCACCCCCTTTTCACTGACTTCCACAAGCCAATCAGATATTCATTTCTAAACTAAGCTCGCTGCAACCATAATCCCCAGGGACTTGTGCTGCTGACCCAAAGACCAAGGATCTCAGGTGGTTTGAGCCAACCTCTGAAACTCTGTGGAGGGTCAGCGAGGATTCTGTTCCTACTCAGCGATGGGTTGTATTTTTGTTACTGTTGTCCACTTGCTGGTTTTCTGGCACTGTGGTGAGTTGTGCTGCTAATCAAAAGACTACTTCAAAGGGAGCTCTGGTGGCCTAGAGGCACTATCTGCACAGCAATCTCACAGGTACGTGGTTCAAATCCACCAGATGCTCAGCTAGAGGAGGGGCAATCTCCTCCTGTACCAGTAAGATCCAATTTGATGGTACACGCACAAAAATTAATAAAATATTAAAAAATTAAATTTTTTTTAAAGGCTGCTTTAAAAGATTAACCGAAAGACTCCGTCTCCTAAGGTGCAGCTCCACTAGCTGCCCCACAGGAGAAAGGTGACCAGTTCTCTTCCTCTTAAGATTTACACCCTCGGAAACCTGATGGAGGACTGATGGGAGTCAGAATCCTCTCCGTGACAGTCAGAGAAAGAGAAGATAAAATAAGATGTGCTGGGGACACGCTATGACAGTGGGCTTCAGCATATCAGACATGGATGGTGAAGGATATGGACAGTTCAGCTCTGTTCTTCATAGATTAGCTCTGGGTCATAGTCAACATGATGACACTTAACACAACAGCAAGTTAATAACTAGAGAACTCTGATGGAGTTAGTTGCACAGAGAGGTGCACTGCTTATTCAGTGGTTCGAGTCCACCAGCTTCTGATGAGCAATCTCATCCTCTTTAGAGCCTTTTGAAACCCATTGGAGCTATGACTTGGTTCCAGCTCAGAAGCAACAAAGTGTGGGTTGTTTCCATGTTTGTTTTTAAATTAGTGTATAATGACTTCTATACCTAGCTTGTATTTCTATTACTTCTCTCTTGATGTTACTGTTCCAGTCATTTTTCGATGATCATCAACAGGATTTTGCTTACATGTGATATTGTTCAGTATTTTCCACACTCTGTACTATCTGCTTTATTTTTTAGAATGGGAACATATATGAATCTTTTCTGGTTAGTTGGCCAGGTGGCTGTCTTCCAGATTTCTTGACACAGCCTACTGAGCATGTCCGGGCAGCATCTGTTTGTTGGAATACGTGAACTGGTATTTCATCAATTCTTAGGAGCCTTGCTTTTTTGCCACTTCCTTCAGAGCAGCTTGAGCTTCCTTCTTCATCACATTGCCTCTTAAACATAAGTTTTTTTTCATGAAATTCTGTGTCAGCTAATTCTTTTGGGTAAAGTGACTCTGCTTGAGGCTTACCAATGTAATTTTTTTGTTTACTTCATTTTTTCTAGATATTTTTTATAACAATTTCATGAATATGTTGCCTTTTTAAATTCTTTTATAGTGATGACTATATATATTTTTTATCTTCTAGATATAGTTGAAAATCATTTAATAAACGTACATTTTATAAGTCTTATATAATTGTAAAAATATATATAAAAACAAAAATTGTTTCTTGAAGACAAAAGATGGACAGTCTCCTCTGGTGCAGTTTACAGCCTCTGAAAATCCACTGAAGGATTAACTATGAACCATTTCTAACTCAATGACAATGACTTTTTTAAAGAGATATTTCATAAATGTAGAATCACACAATATTTGACTTTTGTATCTAACTTATTTCATTCAGCATAATGTTTTCAAGATTCAGAAATGTTTAGACATGTATCATCAGGATTTAATTTTTCTTTAAGGCAAATATTCCATTGTATTTATATACCATATATCGATTCATCTGTTGCTAGAATATTAGGGAGTTTCGTTCTACTTTTTGATCGTGACGAATAATGCTGCAGTGAACATTTGTATACATGTTTGTTTGTTTGTTTGTTTTCATGCTTTCCTCACTTTTATATGTATACATTTTTTTTACACCTACAGGTATATAGTAGTTTAGATAAAGAAATATGCATGATTTTTAATAAATTAAAAATTACTTGTAATAATAGCTACAAAACCACATCCTTCATCTAGCTTTGCCTCCAGAAGATAGGGTTATCCAATTTTATGTAGTATTTATTGGCTGAGTATCTGATAGTATAATAATGAGCCCTTACATATTTTTTTGCGTGTTGAGATATAAAAACATAGTCCATTTAGAATGGTAATGGAATAGGCAGAAATATTCTAAAGCAAGAAAATTATGTATTATATTCCATATCTTGTTTACTGAGAACTGTGGCTGGCAAGTAGCAGAAATAGAGCTTTACTTCTGAATCCTCCTTCAGTGCTCTCCCTTTTTAATGCTGTGATTGAATCCTTTTCCTCTTATGCACTAACTTCTGCCAAATGTCATGGGGCATATCAAGAAATTTAAGACTTTGACCCCGCAGCCAAGCAGTTAGTACTGCAGCTGAACTAAAATGATGTCCACAAACAGTGAATTCGCAATTCACATGATGGCCCAGAGTGAAAATATGCTTAATGCAATTCCTGGTACGTGGAAGGCACTCAGGGAATGCTGGTTGGCTGAATGGATGAAGGGTGGTCAGACTGCTATATGAGTAGACAGACAGATGGATGAACTGATAGCCTGACCAACAGAAGCAATGATGGACTGATAAATGATAGTTACATTTGTAGGAAGGAGAAAAGCTCACTGACCACAGGTGGCTCATTTCAGTGATGCCTGCTGCTTTATTTTATGTGTTGAGAGAACACTTTAGAAAGGAGAAGGTAGACTGTGCCTTCGGATTGAGGAACAGAGAGGAGTTAGGACCTGAGCTACAAAAAGAGGAAGGAACAAGCCATGAACTCAGCATGAGCAAAGACAGGGAGGCAGGAGGAACAAGGTCTGACTGGGAACAATGAAAGAGTAAGCTTAGCACAGCAGAGGGTTTGGGGAGAGCATTGCTTTGAATGAAAAATGGGGCTCCATCACGGAACAGCTTGAATATCAAGCAGGAGTATTTGAAGAATCTATCAGCATGGGCAGCTATAGAATCTTCTTGCATAAATAGCAACTCTCTAGCATAGTGAATCTGATAGAAGTATGAGTTTATGTTGAAAATAAATTTCTAGAAAGGATTGCACACTAAGATCTTGCTACATCATCCTTAACATGTTGCTGTATATAATTGCCCTTTCTTAGACACTTCTGTCAGGCTCAGCTTTAGATCAACAAGTACCCTCTTTTAAGAAATAAACGATTATGACATTCTGAGATAAGATGCAGCATAAAAGTGCAGAAGCTTCCGGTATATCATGCAAAAAGTTTAATAAATTTTTTACATTCTAGAGGAAGGATAGTTTATGTCTTCTGGAGTATTTGGCCTAATTACTAGATGTGCCAGAAAACTGTTGTTTCTTTTGTGGAAGTTGTCCGTATACTGTGAGAAGGCCTAGAACACTAAAGAGGACATACATACATCATCACTTCTCTTTACATCTATTAATCTCATCTTAGCAAATTGATGATGTTAGCACTACAGTGGAAGTGCTTCACAGTGGGGTTCTGGAGTAAAACTGTGGGTGAGAATCTGGCACAACCACGGACTTGATCCTCAGTCTTGGCCACATTTTTAAATAATGAATGATGGCGATAAGATCACTGACAGCTTGAGGTTGTAGGGAGATTAAACATAAAGATGCCTAATCAGTGCCTGCCATGTGGTAGCAATTCATAAATAGTAGGCGTAGTGTTAGCAATCATAAATAATAGTTAATCATAGTTAATAATAGACATGATTTTCTTATTGCTTGTTATTTGTCTCATCTTTCTTGGTTTTCAAATTGTTGCCAGAAAAGTAGTTGAGATCCCAGAGAGTTATGTCAGGTGTCTCCACTAAGTGACATTGAAACTCTGCACGTGTCCCTTGCCCCACTGAGCTGACCGTTCTTTTGTCTTCCACAGTGAGCCATCTCTATGGATTCGGACTGATGGATGCAGAGGCCATGGTGATGGAGGCAGAGAAGTGGACCACTGTTCCCCAGCAGCACGTGTGTGTGGAGAGCACGGACCGACAAATCAAGTAATGTTTGCTATGAACAGTGCCCGGAAGAGCATGTGTCAGTTGGAGCTCTCACTGCCACCTTTTATTGCACGTGGAAGCCAAAACTTTGTAGTTTTTCCCTAATGTCATTATCAAATTTTGATAGAATGTCTAGGATTCTAAGCTGTTAAATCTGTATTAGTGAAACCCCAGCCCATTGCCATGGAGCCAAGGCAACCCCAAGTGTGTCGGTGCAGGATTTGTAGTGACTGTTGCCTAATGAACAGGGAATTGTGCTGCCAACCCAAAAGCAGGTGGTTCAAATCTTCCAAGGCAGAAAAATGGATCATCTCTTCCCACGTGATTTACAGCCTCTGAAAACTCATTAGAGCATCAGCTATGTATCAGTTCTGACTTGATAACAAGGAGTTTGAGCTTTTCAGCCACCAGTTTCTTTTTCTGTGGCCCCCATGTAGATTTCAACCATCAACCTTTGAGTTAATAGTCAAGCACACACAACCACTTGTACCACCCTGGGACCGAAAGTGTGACCGAAAGGCCCTTAAAAGGGAAACTTCTTAAGAGGGCATGTAGGGAGGCCTTTAGTGATGAACTTTGTTCAGGAGGCTCCTGCTCTGTCAGTATTTTTATCCGATGGAGTCAGTGGTCTCCAGAACTCAGTACATCCTGAAAACAACTTGACTCACTCTACGTGCTTCACCTAAAAGCAGTGCAGAATGTGTTCTGAGACTTCAGAGTATTAGGGCACTTAGTAGTTTTTCGTCTGCCGCAGAGGCACAGACATGCATGTTGTGCCATCAGGATAATTCTCTCCTGGCTGCTGAATCCCAGAAAGAGAATTGCATCTTAGTGGCCTCATTCACGTTTTTACCTCAGCTTTGCCCACAGAATTTTGGTTTCTAAGGAAAGTAGAACCATTTTAATTATTGAGGAAATTTGTTAAGAAGCAGAAATACATTAATGAGTTTTCTCATCCATTCTTTTTGTGGCTAGGAGTGAGGAAAGAAACAAAGACATGGCAAGTGTAAGCATATCGATTGAGCATTTACATGTGTGCAGATGCTGAATTGTTACAAACTTTATGTGTTTTCTTATAAAAATTTTATAACAAGTTATATATTAATCCCATTTAAGAAATATGGAAGCAAGAGTAGAGGGATTATTTGGTTTTTTTATCAACTAATTTACCAATTCAACAATTATTTTCTCTTATAGGGTATTAAATACTAAGCTACATATTAAGATAAAAAGACCAATATTAAATATTCCTTCTTTCATGGAGCTTGTAGTATAATAGGAAAGTCAAAGTCAGAAAAGTAAATATAGGTAATGTTATAATATTAAGAGCTCTGGCGGCCTAGTGGATAGGAAGCTGCACTGCCAACATAAGTGGTTGAGTCAAATCCACCAGCTACTCTGAGGGAGAAATACAGACCATCTCCTCCCATGCCATTTACAGCCTCTGAAAACCCGCTGGAGCTATGAGTCAGTTCCATCTCAATGGTAATGAGCTGGGTTAGTTGAATAATAAGTGAACCTTGGAAATAAATGAGGTTGTAAATTAGGAGGGGGTCATATATTGTATGCCTGTGGTCCAGTGATAACTCTCAGAGGAAAATTCAACTTCTGACCTTGAAAAAAGCAAAGGAGCCTGCTTAAAGAAATGAGAATAATCCCGCGTGAAAAACAATGCTTTTGAACTTTGTAAATAAACCTGTTGTTGTTGTTGTTGTTGTTGTTGTTGCTATGTGCCATCAGGTCACCTGCAACTCATAGCAACCCTATGTACAACAGCCCTAAACCCTGCTCTGTCCTGTGCCAATCTCACTGTCTCCGATACACCTACCCTCATTACCCCAGTCACTGAATCAATCCATCTCATCAAGAGAGTCTTCCTCTATTGCACTGTCCCTCTACCCTCCCAAGCATGATTTCCCTTTCCAAGGATTGATCCCACCACCTTGCAGCATGTCCAAAGTATGTCAGATGAAGCTTCAGAACCCTTGCCTCCAAGGAACAGTCTGGCTTCACTATCTCCAGGACAAACTTATTTGTTCTCTTAGCAGTCCATGGTATATTCAATACTCTTCTCCAGTATTAAATAAAAATAAATAAGTCAGTAATGCTACAAAGAGCAATTCAGACATGGAATATGCAAAGCCTCTAAGGGGGCAGAGAGCTAGAATTTCCCAGAATGTGAGCTGATGTCTCTGTGGATGGAGCACAGCGGATAAGAGGGAAGAGGTGGAAGAGGAAGCTGGAGAGACAGCGAAGAGTGTTCGTAGGGAATCAGTTCTCACTCACAGCAGCCTGAGGTCAGAGCACAGCTGTGCCCATGGTTTCTCCAAGGCTCTAAACAAACATGTCTCCCCTGTAGAGCAGCTGGTGGGTTCAAACTGCCAGCCTTTTTGTTAGCAGCTGTGTATGGAGTATTGTAACTGTGCATGAAAAGAATTTTAATTTATCTTTTCCTCTTTCTTTCATAGTTCTTGTTGGTTAAAACCAGGCTGAAGTCTTTAATTGGCCCCAATCGTGGTGGTGATAACACTGTGCTCCTCCACTATCTAGGGACTGGCTGGCTGCATTTGATTTCATTGTATGATGACACTAGGCATCCATTCAGACTCTGCTCCATCTGCTCATGTACCCTCTCTTTCTGTCTCTCTGTTGCAGGACGATTCGCCCCAATAGTGCAGTGCGCTCCATCTACAAAGCTTCGGGGTGCTCAGACAACCCCAACCACCACGTCAACTACTTGGAGCATGTAGTGGTGCGAATAACCATCACCCATCCGCGGAGAGGAGACCTGGCCATCTACCTGACTTCACCCTCTGGAACCAGGTCACAGCTCCTAGCCAACAGGTACAGTGGTGGTCACTGCCTGCCTTTCCACACTCCGCCCAACTTCAGAGGTCGACAGGGTCAGCGGCTCCAGACTCAACCTGGGAATGAGCTGAAGCCACAGATAGGTGCTATGGTGTGATTCTCATAGTCTCACTGCTCTTAAATAGAGGGTCTGAGGGTGCCCGGGATCTGTGGCAGGGAGAATATAGTGTGTGATTGTTGGGTCTTGTTACTGTGTGACTCATAGTTGACCCTCCAGTGGGTTTCTTTTCGGAGACCGTAAATTGCTTGGAAGGTGATTGCCCATCTTTCTACTACAGAAACACTAGTGGATTTGAACCACGTATCTTTGGGTTGGCAGTGCAGCTTCTTGCCTGCTAGGCTATCCAAGCTCTCTTGGGTCATACTAAAACTGAAAAGAATCAAGAATTTTCTATTGTTCTTTCTCCTTTAAATGAACTTAAAAGGCCTGTGCTGAATCCAAACCTGAAGGACAGAAAGTAACTGTTGCTTTTAAGAATTTGCACATTTCATTTACAGTTGATGCTTTTAGCTGCCATCTGTCAGCAGGCCAAATCACAGCAGGACAAAATGTTGCTCATCAGACCTAGGGGGTCTGCAGCATGACTTTTCAGAAGGATATCTCCTTTCTTCCTACTTCATCTAAATCCAGAAGCTTTGCTGAAGCCTGTTCAGCATCAAAGCAATACACAAGCCTCCCACGGTGGATGCTTAGTGGCCATGTTTGAGGAGCATCATCCAGGAATTGAACCTGGGTCTCCTGCATGAAAGGTGAGAATTCTACCCATGAAGCACCAGTGTTTCATTAAACTGCTATGGGCCTCAGAGAGGGAGGGAGAGCAGTTCCATCTCTAGGTAACAATGACTAAGAGCTCTGAGTGGCTTACCTCATTAGCAAGGTAAACACTGCCCTACTTGTGTGTTCTTAACTAATATGTAATAGATAGTTACATTTTCTTTCTTTTTTTTTATCAGAGTGTCTGTTTCTAGACATGGCTGACATTTGTGTCTCTCTCATCTCAATGCCACCTTCCTGCAGAATTGAAGCCTCTGCAAATTTACAGTCCTTGACAGAAATGCCCTATCAGTAAGCCGGGGAAGACTGAGCTTACTTGGTTTTACTGATTTGACACTGTTCCTCGCAGATTAGCCAATCAGCACAGTTCAGCTTGTGCTTATTTTACATATTGAGCATTTTGACACAGTTCAGAACACTGGATTCAAAGTCTTCCTGTGCCTTTTATTTCTGAGCTTCACACCCACTCACTCATTGCCTTCAAGTCAGATCCAACTCATAGCTGACCCTCCAGCGGACTTCTGGTGCTGCAGATCACACGTGGAGGAGATTGTCCATCATTCTTACAGGAAGCAGCGGGTGGATGGAAACATCCAGAGAGGTACCACCTTTGACACATAGCAGCACAACTTCTTAAGGATTACACCACCAGAGCCCCTGCTTTCCTGGGCTTAGATTTGCTGTATTGCTTCTTAAAACCTAACATCTTCCATTAAGATATGAAGCCCAGTTTTGCCAAGACATATGCACACAGGTGTAAAGAATATAAGATGCATTAGCTTCAGATCACAGGGTGCTTCTCCACGCCCTCCTCCCTCACAAGCAGAACTTTTAGCTGCTGTCCTAGCTGATTGCACCACTGGCCTGAAGCTTCTTCCTGAACAAGCCCGGCCTTCAGACGTACAGTTTTGTAAATGATAGGAGGCCACACCAGCAGGATTAGTGGATCTGAGGAGGGCTTTGTTTCTTTCCTTTTCATTACCATTATTTATCCGAGGTTAACTCGGACGAGTGGCCTGGTGAAGCATTTTGAAGAGCATGAATTTGTTTCCTGGGTGTAGAGACCTTAGCCTCAGGCCCCCTTAGTCGTCTACAGCTCCCCAAAATATAGTCCCTATGAGGTTGCAGTTTGCTTGGAAAATGCGGTCTCTGTGGCCTTCCTGGGCTCCTCCTACACGTTTGGTATTTATTGTTGGCTTCCCGCGATGTGACTCTCTGGACCAAGGAGCCGTGGATTCCATCACAGGCACTAGTGGACTGCAGTGTCACTGGCGCGGCCTCGTCTGCATTCTTCCACAGCAGCATCTACTCTGCTGTTTGCAAAGTGCTGGATGGATGCAGCAGTCCAAAGTGCTCTTTGCCAAAGAACACAACTTGGCCTTTTCAGTGTTCTCACTAAGATTCACAAGCTTTGGCCCAGCAGCCACATCATAGCCTCTTGGGGACATATTTTTTTTTCACCGGGACTATGTCTTTTTTCCCTCTGGAGAATGGTCATCAAGAGCCGCTGTTTGCATTTCCTCCTGCTGGCTGTTAGCTCTTGTTGAGTCTTCTTAGGGCACAGCAACCGCACACATACTACCTGGTCCTGTCCCTTCTCAATGCTCATATGCATTGACAACATTGTGAGCTATCACATTTCCATCAGATGGCTTTCAGAAGTAGGTTGCCAGATCTTTCTTCCGCCCTGCATCTAAGTGCTGAAAATAAGCAGCACTATTTAGAATAAGGAAAGAAAGTTAGAGGGAGGGAACTGGAGCTACTGAGTCGAAAGGATTTTATGAATCATTTGTCTGCAATTTCCCAATATCATTGCTGTGCATGGCTGACCCTTTGAAATATGAAACAGCTGCACAGATCCCACACATCTAACCAGGGTTGGCCACAGTCCAGGGTCTGGCTTCCCACCTTTTCCTTTTTTTGTGCTTGACACTAGTAGTAAAAACCCTCTTTCTGGGCACTGAGAAGGGACGGGGTTTCTCTTGGCCCTTCTTTGTCACTCGTGGCATCCTCCAGAGTTTCATTTTATTAGAGGATGTCGCTCCTCCAAGCATTTCGGTCTGACCTAGTGGCATGGAGGAGCAGGCTCTCCTCTTGGCCTTGTTTCAAAGCCCAGCCCCAGAGTTGCAAACTGAGTGGGGAAAATCCAGAAAGGGAGGAGCAGGGTAAAGACAGGCAGGCCCCTCCACTCCTGGTGACCTTTATGAGGTCTGAGAACAGCACTGTTCCTGAAGGAAAGGTAGAAGGAACTTACGTATCAGAAACTATTAGCAGCAGCCCTCAGAACCCAAACTCATTGCCGTTAGTTTAGTGTTGAGTCTGAATTCTCATAGCCTTATCCTCCAGCTGATTTTCACAGGCTGTAAATCTGCCTTCAGAGACTGCCTCTCTTTCTCCCTCAGAGCAGCTGGTGGATTTGAATTTCTTGCCTTTGGATTTTCAGCACTCTTTCTTACCTACTAGGCCCCCAGAGCTCCTTTATGCAGAGAAATGGAGGTTTCTAAGAGACACCATCTAAAAGCAAAGATTGACAATTAACTAAAAAGACAAATAAAAAACCTTCAAACTCATTGCCGTATAGTCAGAACTGACTCATAGCTGACCCTTCAATGGATTTTCAGAGGCTGTAAATCATACAAGAGGAAATTGCCCATCACTTTCCCTTGGAGTAGTTGGTGGATTCGAACCACTTGCCTTTAGGTGAAGAGCTCAACTCCCTACCCATTAGGCTACCAGAGCACCCTAAAAAGTAGATAGTCTGGAACATGTTAGACTTCATTCCCCTGATGAAGGTTGTTTGAGATGGAAGTACCATGCTATAGTGTCAGAAGGTCATCCCCATCTATCTTCTGTGCTCCCTGGTGAGGTGTGAGTGCTCTCCAGCATGGGGGAGCTCCAGCACTGTACACTTACTTGCCTGGCAAAGTACCCAAAACATGGTAACTCTCCTTGCTGAGTTGTTTTTCCCCAAAATAAAACTGTGCGCCCCTGAGTGTGATGCCAGGGTACCAAGGACCACGCAGACCCAGCACCATACACAGCACCAACCTTTCACAGTATAAAAGGCAAGCACATGGTCAAAACATTTATCCTATCTCCTCGGATATGAGAGGAGAGCTGAGATCACTGCAGCCACCTGTCTCTTCTTCTCTGGGACTGTTCTCGCCCTCTGTGCTGTTTAAATTCATGTCTCGGTTTATTACTAGTCACTGTGGCATCCACTCTGACCACTACAGTCTGTGTGCAGCAGAACAGAACATTGCATGGTCCAGCATCAGCTTTCTGGTCACTGTTCTGGGTGGGCCCATTGCTGAGGTTCTGGTGTACTCGGAAGCTTGTCCAGGCTGTGGGGCTCATCTTCCGGCCCTGTATCACAGTGTTCTGTTGGGGTTCCTCACAGTTTGGGTAGCAGATTTTCAGGAGGAGATTGCCAGCCCTCTCAGTCTCATAGCTTCTCTGAACTTGATCCACCGTGAGTGATCCCACTGGTGTTTGAAATATAAACAGCGGCACTTCTAACATCCGGGCATTGTGCTAGCCAGCACAGTATGATAAATTGTATCACAGACCAAGTTTGAAGACCTGAAAATATAATCTCTAAGAGTAAACTCCCAAAGATAGACAAAGCTGGGTTGGTTTTTTTGAAATCTGTATTCTAGACGGTGTAGTGAGGGATCGCTGCAGCATTAGTTAACTCCTTATCCTTAGGTGATTTGTTGGAAGTCTGTTTTCTGCAGATTGCACACTCTGAAGGAGTCTTTGTGGGCCGTCCGGAGCCCCTCAGTGGCCCCCTGTCCCAGCGGATGGGCAGTTGCCCGCACTCCTGTAGAGAACAGCTGTTTTTGAGGGAGAACATTTCACAGAGTACCTGCAGGTGCTGCGTCTTAGAAGGCGCTCGGATGCTGGTCCAGCTCCAGCACCATGTCCCATTAGCCCAGCAGGCGAACACCCCTGGCCAGCCAGCTCCCTTATTTAGTGGGTGGGAATGGGGTAAACAGAGCAGCACTGGAATGGACCAAGCTTTTTCCTTCCCTTCTCTTTGTTCTTCCCCTACCCCTTCCCTTCTACCCCTCCCCTGGGCCTGTAACCCTGCCTAACAAAATGCCACAAACTCTGCTACTGAGGAGAACGTGCCAGCGTGCCATCTAGGCGAGGCTGCGCGGGCTTGCCTCCCTCCCCAGATAATGTCTTTACAAGGCCT